TGCTGCTGCTGCACCCCCTGCCGCTGCAAGGCGGGGGGCCCCAACTGCGGCTGCGTACCCGAGCCTATAGAGGGGAGCAGCAGGATGCCGGTGGAGCTGCAGGTGAGTTTAATAAAAATATAAATTATTTATTTATTTATTTATTTATTTATTTGTTTGTTTATTTGTTTTTTGTTTGTTTGCTTTTTTGTTTTTTTGTTTATTCATTTAGCTGCTAGCTTCCTGGCAAGCTCAAGTGTATCCTGCTGCTGGTTCTACTGCTGCTGCTGCTGCTGCTGCAACTGCTGCTGCAACTGCTGCTGCTGCTGCTGCTACTGCTGATGCTGCTGAAACTGCTGCCGCTGCTGCTGCTGCTGCTACTGCTGCTGCTGCTGCAACTGCTGCTGCTGCTGCTGCTGCTGCGCTGCAGGAGTGGGCCATCAAGTCTCAGCAGCAAGGGCGGACGGTTGTCTTGCTGCAGGCAGCAGGAGTTATCTTGGGTACCATCCTCCCCTGATTTAGGGTTTAGGGTTTAGGGTTTACTGTTTAGGGTTTAGGGTTTAGGGTTTCGGGGTCAGGGTTTAGCCTTAAACCCTAAACCCTAACCCCTAAAGTTGAGGGGTTTATGGAGGGGTCTCTATTTCTTCTCTTTCGCTCTCTGAAGTGTCTCCGTTTCTTCCTCTGTCTCCTTTCTATCTCTTTTATATATCTCCTTTCTGTCTCCTTTCTGTCTCCTTTCTGTCTCCTTTCTGTCTCCTTTCTGTCTCCTTCTGTCTCCTTTCTGTCTCCTGTCTGTCTCCTTTTCTGTCTGCTTTCTGTCTCTCTCCCCGTCTCCTTTTCTGTCTCTCATTCTGTCTCCTTTACTTTCTCTGCTTGTTTTTCTTTCTCGCCCTGTGCGTATCTATCCCCTCTCTATGCATATATATATATAAATATATATTATTTTTTTTTTTGTTTGTTTTTATTTTTATTTGTTTTCAGGTTGTGCTGCTCTATCGGATGGCCTGCATCCTGAGTCTGCTGCAGTTGTAGCTGCGCT